CTGGGAATAGGGCTGGATGTACCGGCTGGGAATGGGGCTGGATCTACGGGCTGGGAATGGGGCTGGATATATCGGCTGGGAGTGGGGCTGTATCTACGGGCTGGGAATGGGGCTAGATGTACTGGCTGGGAATGGGGCTGGATATACCGGCTGGGAATGGGGCTGGATGTAGCGGAGCCTCTCCTCAGCGGGGAGATGCTCCAGCGCCGTGGGGAAGGGCGCCCGGCCCCGGCTGCCCTGCTCACCCTGCTCCAGCTCCAGCAGCTCCTGCCCGGCCCCGTCCGCCTCCCGCGCGAGCTCCGGCTGCTGCTGGGGGACACGGCGGGGACAGGGGGGGACGTCGCGGGACACGGCGGGGCACGGCGCGGGAGGGAAGCGAGGCCGGGAGAGGCACCTGCACCGTGGCCCCTTCTGCCTCCTCCGCATCCTCCGCATCCTCCTCTTCCTCCTCGCCCTGCTCTTCCTCATCACCTGCCGACTCCAGGATGGCTGCAGGGGAACCGAAAGCACCGTCGAAAGCGGCTCCGGCAGCAGGTCCCGCTCGGCCGCCCTCCTTCCCCATCCCATGGCTGCGGATGCGGAGCCTCGATGGAGGCCGAGCCGCCAAAGCCCCTCATCACAGGACGAGCCCCGTTTGGTGCTTGGAAAGAAAAGCCAGGACTAATTTCCCGCCTGGTTCCCGGCTCCCTCGCCCTTGCCGAGCGAGGCTTGTCAGGGCACCTTGCAAAACACAGGGCTGCTAATGGTGACTTGGGTGTTTTAGGAAAAAGGCAGCGTGGGCTCCAAGGGCCTCCGGAGCCCTGGGGCTTTGCGGGCTGTGGAAGTGCCCATGGAGGAGGGCAGAGGGATGGGGCGTCCAGCAGGAAGGGGCAGGAGGCGAAGCGGGGAATAGGAGGCTGCAGAGCCCGGATTGCCACTCCCGCCACCCGGACCCCCTCGAGACCTCAGGGTCCTGGCACAGGCCAGGGGACCAGGTCTCTTTCCGGCTCCCCTCCCGCTTCAGGGCCCTTCCCAGAGGCCAGGCAGGAGGCGGGTGATCCCGGCCCGGCTGCACCCGGGATTGCACCAGCCGCTCCCGTTCTCCGCACAAGACGTGCCCAAGGTGATGTGGGCACCGGTGCCAGGGCACCAATTCAGCCCTTGCCGGAGTTCATTCCCATAGCAGCTCTAATCCAGTGGGGAATGTGCTCCGGAATTTACACCCCCCCACCCTGCTCCCAGGTTTGATCCCTGCTCTCCGCTGCCCAGAGCAAAGCCCAGCTATGGGACCGGACAGACGGACAGACCTGCACGATGGATGAACAGACCCCGCGCGCACCCTCTCCATGGGCAACACGGGCAGACACCCCAGCCATGCCCTGCGGCGGCGCCCAGAGGCCACGGTGACGGTCGCCCCCGCTGCGCCCTCCCGGGAGCCCAGGTGAGGGGGTCTCACCTGCGAGCAGCCACGCGCTGTCCCCAGCGCCATCCCCAACGCTGTCCCCAGCGCCGTCCCCGGCGCCGTTCCCAGTGCCGTCCATGGTGCCGACCCGCTGCCCGCAGCTCCGCAGAGCCGCCCTCGCTTCCCACCCGCCCAGGGAAGTGAAACTGCCCCGGTCCCGGCCGCGGGCGCGCGCAGGCTCCGCAGCCCTGGGGACGCATGGGAGCGCGGCTCCTTTCTGGCCATCCCGGCACTTTTATTGCATGGGGACGAGGGGCCGGGCACCGTGCGGGCGCACAGGGCGGGCGCAGGGTGCTCGGCTGCAGCTCTGGGGGCGCAGGGGGCCGCGCGCGTCCCCGCCGCGGGGCTCAGAGCGCGGTGTCGGCGGCGGGCGGCGCGACGGCGGCGGGCGCGCGGGGCTCGCGCGGGTAGAACTCGGCCAGGACGCTCTCCGGGATGCGCTTGAGCAGCTGCCGCGGGAAGATGCGCAGCAGCTGCCAGCCCAGGTCGAGCGACTCGAAGATGGAGCGCTTCTCGTAGGGACCTGCGGGGAGCCGGGGGGGCCGTGGGCCGGGGTGGCCGCGGGCGCCGGCGTGCCCCGACGTGGGCGCCGCGCTCACCCTGCGCGATGAACTGCCGCTCGAACTTGTGCAGGAACTCCAGGTAGAGCAGGTCGTCGGGCGAGAGCGCCTCCTCGCCCACCACCGCCTTCATGGCCTGCACGTCCTTGCCGATGGCGTAGCAGGCGTACTGCGGCGGGGCAGCGCCGTGAGCGCCCCGCGGCGCCGCCGTCCCCTCCCCGGCCGCCCCGGTGCCCACCAGCTGGTTGGAGACGTCGCCGTGGTCCTTCCTGGTCATGCCCTCGCCGATGGCCGACTTCATGAGGCGGGACAGGGAGGGCAGCACGTTGATGGGGGGGTAGATCTGCGGGGACAGGCGGGCTCAGCAGGGCCCCCCCGGGGTCTGGGCCGAGACGGGGGGTGGCGTCAGGGCCCACCTGTCTGTTGTGGAGCTGCCGGTCCACGTAGATCTGCCCCTCCGTGATGAAGCCGGTGAGGTCGGGGATGGGGTGGGTGATGTCTGGGGGGGCAGGAGGGGGTCTCATGAGCAGGCGCATGGATGTGGGGGTGCACACAAGCACACGCCGCTGCATCCATGTGCTTGCATGCACACAGGCTCTGTGGCATGTATGCAGATGCATGTATACACATCCCGCATGCATGCATAGGTGCATTGCACACATGCATAGCTCTGTGCACGCATGCTTGCACCTGTGTGCTACATGCATGCGTATGTGCACGAGTCATACATGCACGCAGATATGAATATCTGCACCATGTGCACGCACACGTGTACCCCTGTATGCATGCTTGTCCCAAGGCATGCACCCATGCGTGCGCTTGCACACACGCATGCACACATGCACCTTGAGGTCACCCCAAAGCCATTCCTCATGCCCACATGCTGCCCCTTTGGAGGACACACAGGGCTTGCTGGAGACCAAGCCCAAGGCTGGCAATGGCCCCTAAGGCTCCTGCAGGGAAGATGCACCCTGCAGAGGTGCTGGGCGCAGCAGCCCGGCCGCCCCGCGCGCGCTCACCGTCGTTGGGCATGGTGAGGATGGGGATCTGCGTGATGGAGCCGTTCCTGCCCTCCACGCGCCCGGCCCGCTCGTAGATGGTGGCCAGGTCCGTGTACATGTAGCCGGGGAAGCCGCGGCGCCCGGGCACCTCCTCGCGCGCCGCCGACACCTGCGGCACGGGGCCGTGTGCGTGGGGTGCGCGGTGCCGCCGAGCACCGGCCCCGCCGCCGCCGCACCGACCTCGCGCAGCGCCTCGGCGTACGAGCTCATGTCGGTGAGGATGACCAGCACGTGCTTCTCGCACTGGTACGCCAGGAACTCGGCCGTGGTGAGCGCCAGGCGTGGCGTGATGATGCGCTCAATCCTGCAGCAGCGCAAGCACCGCGCTGCGCGCCGAGCCCGCGGGCAGCAGCCCTGGCACGTGGGGACACGCGGGCACACGGGGCCAGGCGGGCACGTGGGCTTGCAACCAGACACACATGCATGCAGGCATGCATGTGCATGGAAACACATGCGGGCGTGGAAACGTGGGCATGCACACGTGGGCATGCTTGCAAGCATGCATGCATGGAGACACACACATTCATGGAAACTTGCACACACAGGTGGGCATGCTTGCACGCATGCATGCATGGAGACACACACATTCATGGAGATATGTGCACACAGATGTGGGCACGCTTGCACACATGCGTGCATGGAGATACACATGTTCATGGAAACATGCACACACATGTGGGCATGCTTGCACCCGCACGCAAGGCTATATGTGCACGCATGCATGAGCACACACATGCATGCACACACTCAAACATGCCCATATGTGCATGGGCACATGCATGTGCATACACAGAGCCATGCACTCGCACACGTGCACAGCCAGCTGCATCCCCGGGGACAAGGCAAAGGGGGTGGCGGAGGAGGCCGGGCTCGCTCACGTGGGGTCGTTGGCCAGGTTCAGGAAGAGGCACACGTTCTCCATGGAGCCGTTCTCCTCGAAGTCAGCCTTGAAGAAGCGGGCGGTCTCCATGTTCACCTGCGCGCGAGCGGAGCCGCGGGGTGCTGAGCGCCCGGCGCCGCGGGCAGCCGCGCGCTCCCCTGGCACGGCACGGCACGGCACGGCACAGCGCGCCGCTCACCCCCATGGCGGCAAAGACAATGGCGAAGTTGTCCTCGTGGTAGTCCATGACGTCCTTGGACTTCTTGACGAGGCCGGCCTGGCGGCAGATCTGGGCGGCGATCTGCAGCGGGACGGGCGAGGACGTGCGGACGGGCCCGGCGGGGACGAGGAGCCCGGCGCGGGGCCGGCCGGACGCCCACCTCGTTGTGCGGGAGGCCGGCGGCCGAGAAGATGGGGATCTTCTGGCCGCGGGCGATACTGTTCATCACGTCGATGGGCGAGATGCCCGTCTGGATCATCTCCTCAGGGTAGATGCGCCCGTGTGGGTTGATGGGCTGCCCTGCAATGGCAGACGGGTGCCGAGTGGCCCCAGACCCACGGGAACGGGGTGCCCGGGGCCCGTCCCGCCGCCCGGCCTCACCGTTGATGTCCAGGAAGTCCTCGGCCATCACGGCAGGGCCGCTGTCGATGGGCTTCGCCGAGCCGTTGAACACCCGGCCTGCAAAGCGGGGCGCAGCTCTGCACCGGTGCCCGCCGGCACCGCGGGCACGACCAGGCCTGCCAGCTCCGGGCATCCCCCCGGCACCCGAGCTCCTGCAGCGCCCACGGGGCTCTCGAGGGGACCAAGCCTCAGCACAGCGAGCACCCAAGGGTGCCATGGGGTGTCCTGCCTCGTGCGGGTGCCCTGCAGCACTGGGTGCTGCACTGGGCACCACCAGGGGCAGATGAGCAGGTGTTGTACTGGGTACCAAACTGTCACTGAGTACCACACTGGGCATCACTGGGTGCCACCCTGGGTATCACTGTGGGGCAGATGAGTGGGCACCATAGTGGGCATCACTGAGGACCACTCAGTGCCAAAAAGAGATCCTGCCCCACCATGTGGCCCTGGGAACCTGTAACCACGACGGTGCCAGCGCAGAGCGAGTGCAGGTGCCACCCCAGGAGCACCCAGGTGCCCGACGTGCTCTCGATGCCCCGGCCATCGCTGGCACCAGGAGGCACCGCGCTCGCCAAGCGCAGCGCGTTCCCGCAAGCTGCCGCTCGCCCCAGCTCATGGCGCAGGGAGGGGAGGGTGACCCCAGGTCCCCAAGCACAGGCGGGATCAGTGCCCGTGGCCCCTGCAGAGCACCGCACCAGTGCATTGCCATGCGCCAAGCTGCGTCCGTTCTCAGCCTGGCGGGGAGCTTACCGAGCATGTCTTCGGACACGGGTGTCCGGAGGATGTCGCCGGTAAACTCACAGGTGGTCTGCTTGGCATCGATGCCCGACGTGCCCTCGAAGACCTGCGGACGCGAGCGGCACCTTTGTGGGGCCGCAGAGACCAGCGTCCCCCTCCCGCGGCGGCAGCTCCATTGCGGCGAGAGCGGCGCTAAGTGACCCGCGGAGCCGCGCGGAGCCCCGGGGCAGCCCGAGCGCTTGGCCTTTCGCGCCGGCGCTAATAGGATTAAGCGGGACGTGCGCAGGGGCTGCACCGCGGGGGCTGCACCGCGGCCGCGCGCACCCCGTCCCCGTGCCCGCGCGCACCCCGTACCCGTGTCCATCCCCGCGCACCTGCACGATGGCCTTGGAGCCCAGCACCTCCAGCACCTGCCCGCTGCGGCCGCTGCCGTCGGGCAGCGTGAAGTTCACGATCTCGGCGTACTGGGCGAACTGCAACGGGGGGCAGGAGCGCGGCGCTGACGTGGGTGCCGTGTGGGACACGGCACCCGGCATCGTCCCCTCGTGTCCCCACGGCTGGAGGGACCGAGGAGGGCGCTGGAGGAGCGGGGACACATCCTGCTTCGGGACCTCGGGCCATGGCGGAGCAGCTGGTTCCTGTGGGTGCCCCGCACCCTGCTCCCGTGCAGCATCCTCACCCTGCTCCATCCCGGCACAGGACGCACGTTCCTGCCTATCCAGGGATGTCACACCCATGCCGGCCACCCCCGGCCCCTCTCCTCCCGCCAAGCACACTCTGCTCCTGGGATGCGGGAAGCACCAGGAACAACGGGCCCAAAAGCCTGAGCTGGCCGTGTCCGCTAGAGGTCACTTCCCAAAGTGCCAAGGGCCTTTCCTGCTTTCCCAGGAAAATCGTTCTCCCGCTCTGTGCAAACGCAGAGGAGCCGGATTGGGGCAGCCGCAGGGGTCAGCGCCTGCGGCCGGGCAGGTCACAGCGTCACAGGGACAATGTGGACTGTGGGTGTCCCGAGCAGCCCGGCACCCTGTGGGACCCGCTTCCTTGGCCAGGTGGTTGGGACAGGGACAGGGACAGGGACAGGGACAGGGACAGGGACAGGGACGGGGACAGGGCAGGGGTTACTCACCGCACAGCAGCTCCACCGCAAAGGCACTTGCAAAAAGCCACCACCGTGGCCAAGGTGCCCAAACACACGTGCACGTGTGTGCAAGTATGCACAGTGCAGCCATGCACACACATGTGTGCATGCACACATAGTTCAATGCACATGCATGCATACAGCTCCATCCAGGTGCACGCATGTGCACATGTCCACACATGCATGCACATATTCACACATACACTTCTACACACATGCTTGCACGTATGCACACACACAGCCGCACATGTACATGCATGTATGCTCACACGCATGTACATGCATGTATGCACACACACTTCCACACATGTTCATGCATGTATGCATGTGCATTTCCACGCGCATGCATGCTCCGGTGTTCCTGCATGCTCTCGCACACACGTGCATGCCGGCACACGCTGAGCTGCACGTGCCCACGCAGACACACAGCGGCACATTCCCGTGTGCACTGTCCCGTGCAGCCGCTCCGCTCCGAGGCTCCGCTGGGAAGAGGCCCCGCTGCAGCCTCTGTCCGGAGGAGGGAGCTCGGCACCCCGCGAGGGGACGGGGATGGGGACAGGCCACGCTGCCCTTGCCCAGCCCACCACCCTCACCTTGACGTTGTCCAGCACCACGAGGGGCCCGTTGACGCCGCACACGGTCCTGTAGGCTGCAGGGGGACAGGGGACAGTGTGAGCAGGCTGAGCGCCCGGGCCACCCGCACCACGTCCCCAGCACCGCTGCCCGCCCCAGCCCCTCTTAGCTTTCAAATAGGGCGGAAATGCCAAGAGAAAATGATCCACAGCTGCTTGCATGGGATGCACTGAAGGGCTTCTCCTCGGCCACCCCTTGTCCCTAAAAGATGTCCCTCTGGGGACATGCAGACAGCAAAAGCCAGGGCAAGTGAAGGGGTGAACGCGGCCCAGTGCAGGGTTGGTGCTGGGACAGCGAGACGGGTCCATCCTGCTGGAAAAGCATCCAGGAGAGCGTGGGGACCTGCCTCAGATCCTGCATCCGCCCGGCCCCGGGCAGGTCCCGGCCTGGGCAAAGGCAGCTCAGAGCCACCGCGGGCACCGGGCAAACGGGGTCGTGCCAGGCTCCTCTCCGACCCGGGGAAGGGGGTCACCAACGGGATCCCCAGCTGCAGCTGCCATGGGGATGCTGCTCCATGGCCCCATCGGAGGGGCAGGACGCCCATGAGGAGCCCTAGAGGAGGGTGCTGGGGTGCTGGGTGTAGGGGCCACCTCCCATGGGACAGGACCTGCCCGCCCGGTGGCTCTGCTTTTGGTGGCAAACGAGGTTCCCAAAGGATGCCGATGCAGCCAGGGATGGAGCCCGGGCGGGGAAGCCACCTGGGAAGGGAAGCGCGGGGCAAACAAATGGGAAGCAGCAGGTGCGCGAGTCCAAATGAGCAGGGGAAGGTGGCGGGGCGCCGGGGTCAGCGAGGAGCCGCGCGGCCCCTTGATCATCGCCGCGACGTGCCAAGCGCCGTAACGCCTGCCCCGGCGGGGCCGCCGCCGCTGACCCTGCGCCCCCCCCGGCCCTTGCTGCTCGCTCCGGCCCCTCTGATTTCCCCATGATCCTAATAGGATCGGAGAGGCCCGGCCAGCTGGCGAGCGGGGCCTCCCGGCAGCGGCCACGGCCATGGGTGGTCCCAGTGCCCGTCCCACCGGCCCCATGGCCGGGGCTGCCTCTGCTGGGCCACCAGTCCGGCCGCCTTTGTGCCCTTTCTTCCCAAAGTGACCATCCCGCCTCCCCTTCCCGCTTCCCAGCCAGCATCCGCCCGCCCTCCTCCAGGAGGGTTTTGTTGAGCTCTTGTCTTCGCTCCCTCCTCTTCCTTCCTGGCCACTGCTGTTGGGAAGCCACCCATGGGGGACGTGCCTTTGTCCCCCTTGTCCCCAGGGACACTGAGGCCATGGAGTTGCCCCTACCCGGAGCCTCAGCGCCAGCTCCGGTGCCTGCAGGAGACCTTGGCGCACCGTGTCCTTCCTCCCCATCATCCCCAACTGGGAGATGTGGGTGATGGTGCCAAAGCAGCAGTTGTCCAGCCAGAGAGGATGGGTTGACCGGGAGAAACGTCCCCAGGGGGACACCAGGACAGAGGAACCGTCCCCAGGACTGGGGCAGAAGCTGAAGCCAAGGGCTGCAGACACGGGGTTCTGGCCTCGCTCGCCTCCACCCGCGGGTCCCCACCAGCCATCAGGACCATCGAGAGCAGGAGGGTGCCCAGGGGCCACACCAAGCCCCACTGCCCCACAGCCCAAGGGGACAGGGACACGTGGGACCGCAGGCACACGCGATGCTGAAACCCTCGCTGCTTCCTAGGGAATGCCGAGAGGAAGGGAACGCGCTGGAGGAGGCGGAGAGGGCAGGGCAGCGGCGGGGGCAGCAGTGGGGCCAGCCCCGGCCACCGGAAAACCCTAATGCGGATAATTAGGGCGCTGCAGAAGGTGTCGGGGTGGGTGGGCCGGGCGGAGGGGCGCGCGGAGCCCGTCCGGGGGGGCGCGCGGCGCGCGGAGCCCGCGCGGCGCAGACGGGAGCGAAGCCTTTCAAGCTGCCCTTTTGCACCCCCCCGTCCCCAAATTCACAGCTCCTGTCACTTGCAATCTCCATTAGCCCCGGCGCTCACGCACTATTAACTCCCGCCACCGAGGAGCGCCCCGAGGGGGGGCCGCGGGCCAAGGAAATTGGCCGCGATGACAAAGGCGCCGCGACCCAGCGACACCGCGGCACTAATTGTTTCCACCCATCCTCTGCCCCCTTCCCGGCCAGGCCGGCCGCTCCTCCGGCCCCGAGGCTCCTAGGGCTCTGCTGCAAAGAGCCCGGCTCCTGCCGCCCACGGGGGCATGCACAGACGGACACAGGGATGGAGGGATGCAGGGATGGAGGGATGGACGGATGGATGGACAGCAGCAGGGGGACATCCCAGGATGACCTCAGGAAGGACATGTCAGCCCAGGAGATACTTTTTTCCAAGCCCGGCAGTTGCAGGGTGGGTGCATCCCAAACCCCTCCTGGTCCCTGTCCTGGTGGCTGCCCCATGCTCTCCTCCTGCACCCCAAAGTGGGCACCCAGCACCCCAGCGCCCCATGGGTGCAGACAGCAGCTAGTGGGGGCAGAAAGGCCCCAAATTAAAAGAAACCTCTGGTCTTGGTTTGCAAGGAAGAAGCCGTGGAGGAGCCAGCACCCAGGACCAAGCTCACAGCACCCAGAGGACTGACCCCATTTGGGAGAAGGTCTCGGACGAGCCGGGGCTGAGCAAGCAAAGCCAGCACCGAGGGCTGTCCCGTTGCCCCCAGGTGACACTGCTCCTGGTGGTCCCTGGCACCAGCTCCTGGTGGCACCAAGGGAGAAGGCACCTCTTATAACTGAGTGGTCCAGAGCAAACTGCAGATCCCACCACTCCAGGGACCTGTGGTGGGACCGGAGCAGTGGAGCTGGCCATGACGATGACGATGATGATGGAGACAGGGACGGAGAAGCCGGCAGGAGCAGCCCGGAGCAGTCCCTCACGTCCCGCTCCGGGCAGAGCCGCCGGGGCCGGGCGCTTGGCTCAAACTTTTCCCACAGTCCCTAAGCGGCAGCGGGTCCCCCCTGCCCCAACCTGCCCGTTGCGCCATGTGGCAGTTTGTGCCGCGCTGTCAAACGCCCGGGGCCGCCGGGGGCCGTGAAAGGCGCGGCGGGGCGCCGCGCGCTATGCCACTAATTAGGGCCCGCGCCCGCGGGTTCCCAGACACACCTGCACGGTCATGTGAGGCGCGCAAAGAAAGGCAGCCGCAGCCAAGCGTGAAGCCGGCCGCGCCGCCGAGCGCCGGCGAGGCAGGGGGGGAAACGGGGAAAAAAAGGGGAAAAAAAAAATAGATGCCGGCCTCGCTGTGGCGCTTGTGACAAAGCGGGGCTGGGAGGCAGCGCCGGAGCCCGGCCCCGCGAGTGGCTCCTGCAGGCACTGGCTGGGCCGGGGGTTCCTATGGAAAAAAGGGGAATGTGGAGCCGGGCGGAGGCGGTGCGGCTGGGCTCCGGTCTCCCGGAGGCTTCGGGATGCAGCCCCGGAGCGGCAGCCCCTGCCGTGGGCAGGAGGCTCTTGGCTTCCCGTGCCTTAAGCTCCGTGCAAGTTGCTGCTGTTTCTTGGAGCAAGGATGCTGAAGCCGCTCCGTCCTGCCGATACTGACCCAGTCGATGCACACGGGGCAGCAGCTCTGTGCCACAGGCATGACAGGGACGGTGTCACCCGCTCAGCCCCTTCGCAGCTGCACGAAGCCCAGGGGCCCTGGCTGCAAGAGGGACATGACACGAGGGGACCTGGTGTCGCGGGGCTCAGCGTGGGGGCCGCGTGCCACGGGCAGCATTGTTTGCTGCCTTTATTATCCTTTAAAAAAGAAAAGAAAAAGAAGTCTAAAGATGGGTCAAGCCAAAGGCCAGGAGGTGATAAGTGCTTCTGCCACCCGCTCGTGCTAATGGATTCACGGCGCTCGGGAGCAGCTGCTAATACCTCGGCCGCCTCTCAGGAGAGCCGGCGCCAGCCGAGCGGAGCGGAGCGGAGCAGCGCGGGCGGCCCCGGCCCCGCTCCGGCCCGCGGCGCCCCCGGCCCACAGCCGTGCAGGGATGCGGCGGGAGCCTCCTGACCCACTTCCATACATTAGCCACGCGGCCAGGCCAGGCAGCGGCCACCGGACACCTCTCCTGGGCCTCGAGCTGCCTGCCATGTGCGGTGCTGCATGGGGCGAGGGGACGTGGGCAGTGCCCCGGGAGCCCAGGGGTGCTCCTGGCACATGTGCAATGCTCCAGACATGCTCCTGGCAGGCGTGCAATGCTCCGGACATGCTCCTGACACATGTGCAATGCTCCAGACATGCTCCTGCCAAGTGTGCAACGCTCTGGCCATGCTCCCGGCACACATGCAATCCCTCAGGTCCAATCCCAGTACACATGCAATGCTCTGGACATGATTCCAGCACGCATGCAATGCCCTGGCCACCAATGCCCTGCGTGCAATGCCCCAGACATGCTCCCAGCACAGTTGCAATGCTCCGAGCATGCTCCCAGTGCACCTACATTGCCCTGGACATGCTCCCAGCACTTGTGCATGACCGCAGACACACTCCCAGTACATGTGGAATGCCATGGACATCCTCCCGGCATGTATGCAATGCCCCAGCCATGCTCCTGGCGTGAGTGTAATGCTCCTGCATGCATGCACTGCTCCAGACAAGCTCCCTGCACATATCCCAGCACAGCACCAAGTGCCTGAAATCCACCGAGCTGGGGTAAAATCCAGCTTCCTCTCTAAACGCCAGGCAAGGGACAGGGCAGAGGTGAGGACAGAGAGGAAGTGGCCTGGAGATGAGCATTTTTCCCTTGAAAAGCCAGTGTGGCCACAGCAGCTTCCTGCAGGATTTGCAAAGGGGCTGCCTGGGAGCTGGGGGGCACGGAGGTGGCTGCAGCCGGAGCCCCAAAGCACAGCCCAGCCTGCAGTGCCTTCATCCCTGCCCCTCCTCCTCCTCCCGGCTGCCTGTGCAGCTTCCTCTTTGCAACGCGCGCCCTTCCCAGGGCTGCTCCCGCTCCGCGTGTTGACAGCAAACAAGGGCAGGCGGCAGCAGCCCGGGCGCAGCCGGCTCCGCGCGGCCCTGCCTGCCCGGAGCCGCCCGCGCGGGGCTGAGGCCGAGGTCCCTGACCTTGCGGTGACGGTGACACGCTGCCCCGTGTCCTTGGCGCTGCGGCGCCGGGACGCAGCACGGGCTGCTCCCAGAAGGGTGCCGGGGACCAGCACGCTCCCAGAAGGGTGCCGGCCGCACGCGTGGCCGCAGGGACCGGCAGGGTGAGACACACGGCTGCCCGCTTGTCACCAAGCACTGTCACATGTGCCACTACTCACAGGGTCCCTTGTCCCACAGCACCCGCGTGTCCCTGCTGTGGAACGGGATGTGTGTCCAGCAAATACCTCTGCAAGGAGTTGGGGGCTGCTTTCTGTCTCAGAGACCCCGCTCAGCCCATTCCCAAGGCCACGCTCTGCACAGAGCCCGCGAGATTGGCGGGATGTCCCCTCCAGAAGGTCCAGTCCCTGAGACCCCCAGCATCACCCCCCACCACCCCCATGGGACATACAGCCCCATGCACCTGCACCGGGGACCCCAGCCTCAAACACCGCAGAGTGGGGACCAGCTCCCATGCAGCCCCCACTGTCCCCATCCCCACCTGGGCTGCAGCCACCCTGGATGGGACCGGGCTGGGGACAGTCCCCGCTGTCCCCGCCGGGGGGCTGCAGCCCCGCGCCCCCGCGGCCCCGCGGCCCCGCACTCACTGAGCCGGGCGCTGTGGCCGTAGCGGCGCGTGGCCGCGTGCACGTGGGGCAGGTGGTCGCGGAGCCCCGGCCCGCCGCTCGCCGCCGTTGTCACCCGCCCCGTCGCCGCCATGGCCCGGCCCGCCCGTCGCCGTCGCCGGCCTTTTGTACCGGCCTCTGGAACCGGCCCCCGGCCCGGCCCGGCCCGGCCCGCGGCTCCCGGTCCCGGCCGGTTCCGCGCCCGCCCCCCCGGCCGCCCGTGTTGACTGTAAGTAGCGGCCGGCCCGGCCCTCACCTTGGCCTCGGGGCTGGAGGGCAGCGCAGGGAGAGGCGCAGGTTGGGAGAAAGGGAAGGGGCCGGGACGCGGGGCCGGGGAAGGGGCTGGGTGGGCGAGAGGGGCCCGGTGGGCAGCAGGGCTGGGGGGCGGCTTGGGGCAGCGCCGGGGCTGTGGGCAGGGGGCTACAGCAGCAGGATGGGGGGAGCAAGGGGCAGGGGCACGTTGGGTGCAGGTGGGGCTGCGGGTGCCCCTCCTGCCGGCTGGGTGGGCGCTGGGGACAGGACGGGGCACTTCTCCTTCCCCAAACCCCCCTTTTCACCCCCCCCCCCCAGCCCAGGGCTGCATCCAGGCGGCACCAGGGCTGTTTTCCAGCCCTCTTTTATTGCCACCACTTCCCGCTGGCACAGTCCGGAGCTGGAGCGGTGCCGGGCACGGCCGGGCAAGCAGCGAGCGATGCAAGAGGAGGCAGCAGGAGGCTGGACATCACTTTTATTAACCAAAAGAGACCATGAGAAATCACATCATCCGGCAAAAAGATTTACACAGGGTACATTTCTGTCCGGCTTTGGAGGCTCCTTGCAGGCAAGTCCGGCCTCGGAGAGCCTCCGATGGCAGCTCGTCCCGCCGCATCCCAGCCCTTGCCGTGGGCGGCTGCTTCAGGGAAAGAGGAGAACCGGGGCTGCCCTGTCCCCACTGTCCCTACCTCGGTTTCCCCTCCTGGGGACACTGGTGACACCCAAGTGCAGCAGAGCCATGCGGGACACGGCCACTCGCTCCCATAAAGTGCTCCGGGAGTGATCCCATCCATAAATACTATAGCATAGAAACACTTGATTTATAGGGAAAAAAAATCACTGAAACCTTTTTATAAAATCATTTATTTCTTTTAAATATTTCCCTGCAAAACAGTGGCGGGGAGAGCACGGGGGCGCTGGGCTGATGGCCACACACAGACCTGGCACAAAGCTTGGAACCCCCTGGGCTGCCCAGGGCTAATTGATATTAATTATCCCTCTGGACCTGGCACCAGAAACCCACAGGATTTATGTGCCTGGGGCTGCCCCTTCCCAGGGCTTCTGCAATACGTGCATTCCTTTCTCCCTGGCTTCCCAAAATAACATATTTGCTCTAAAAACAAACAAGGTGGCTCCACCAAGGGGTATCCCAGCCAGGCGATGCCACCGCGGGGCAGCTCGCTAAGGTGACACTACTGAGGTGACGTCACCACAGGGTTTCCCATTAAGGTGATGCCACCCCAAGGTGACACCTCTGCAGGGCTTTCCAGCAAGGTGACACCACTATAGGGTGTCCCACCAAGGCAATGTCACCACGGTGTGTCCTACCAAGGTGCCACCACTGCAGAACGTCCTACCCAGCCATCGGGGCCAGGCACCCTAGAGGGGTCCCCGCTGCCCCTCTGCCCTGTGCAGTGTCCCAGCGCACTGCCCATGGTCCCCAAGGCCACCTGCAGCCCTGCAGGACACACTGCATCCCGGGGCTGGGGTCTCCTTGCAGGGGGCAGCACAGAGGAGCCTGATGCTGCCCGTGGGGTCTCAGCAGGACGGAGGTGCCCGCCCAGGGAGGTGGCACCAGTGCCAGGGCGGCGTGGGGACCGGACCCACTTTGGGACATGATCTGGGGGACCCTGTGCACAGCCGGGGGGACCAAGAGCCCCCTCGCCAGGAAGGGTGAAGCCGAATGCTTGGAGCAGGTGCTGCTCCCTGCAGCAGAGGCCCTGGCACCCATGGGTGCTACAGCCCCCAAGACTGGTCTGGCAAGAGGAAGCCCCAGTGAGGGGCAGGACAAGTGTGGGGGATGGCAGCGGGGACAGGAGCTCTTTTGACACTCATTTTCCTCGTCTTTATTCTTATTATTAATAATATTATTAATTAATGAATACTCTTCTCCTTCTTATCCCTTAAGGACTTGGCTTCTTGCTGGGTAGAGAAGTGTCTTTCCGCTCCAGGCGCGTGTAAGGCTCAAACGCGGAGCTGCCCAGTCCGTAGGCGCTCGGCAGCTCGTGCAGGGCGCCCAGCAGCGGCGCCCCGAAGCAGAGCGGCGCGGCGGGCAGCCGCGGCGAGGAGGAGGAGGAGGGCGCCAGCGGGAGGCCGAAGGCTCCGGTGCCCGGGGGGCTGCCGCTGCTGCCGCCGCCGAGCGCGGGTGACGTGCTGCCCGCCAAGGCTGCTCCGTCGGCACTCCCGGCGGGATTGGTGCCCGGGGAGAGGAGGGCGGGGGGGGCCGGGACAGATAAGAGTCTGCCTTGCTCCAGGAGCCGCAGGATGTTGCAGGTGGCGAAGGATTCAGAGGTGGAACCGGAGCGTTTCTCGGAGTCCCTGCTCTGGTCCTTCTTCTGCTTGGTGCGCCGGTTCTGGAACCAGACCTTGACCTGGAGGAGCAGTGGGGACGGGACGGGACGGGACGGGGCAAGGAGAGGCGCGGGCAGAAAGAGAGCGCAGCGGGGCGGCCGCCCCACACACAGAGCCGGGACACACAGAGATATAGGAGAGAGAGAGAGAGAGACGCGTTAAAATGAGCGCCCGCGCGGCGCCGTCCGCGAGGCTCTGCCGTGCCGGCCCCGAGGACGCGGCTCCGGCAAGCAGGGCATGCTCCCCGGGCGGCCCTGGGGCGCTCCTGGCCTGCGCTGGTCCCCCCCAGCACCCAGGCATGAGGTGGGCCCTCCTTGGGCACCCGTGTGGGGCCAGGACCTGTGGCTGCTGCGCTGGGATGCTCCCCACGAGCTGCGCTATGGGACCTGCGGAATTCCCTCTAGGGGCACTGGGGGATCGGGACAGGGGCTGCTCCCACGAACCCTTCCCTTGGTGGTCTGTAAGGCCAGGCAAGGGGTCCCTGGCTGGGGGGACACGCTCTGCTCACCCTCAGACAACCTAGAGCACCCAGGGAGACACCCCCCAGCCCCACTAAGGAGTGCGGGGACCCCCTCCAAAACCGGAGCTTTGGGCTCCGAGCACCCCAAGATGTCCCCCCATGCCCCTAGCACCCCCTAGACCCACTCAGGCCCTGGGGACACGAGGATGTGTCTGTCCCTGCCCAGGAAGAACAGAGGGGTAGGAGAGACAGAGAGAGAGATGTGAGGGACAGAGAGATGGACAGAGACGGGTGGGGGGGGAGGACATGAACGGGAGATACTCGGATTAGAGCGGTGGCAGGGGGAGACACGAGGGCAGAGCCCCGGGCACGTGGGCACCAGCTCTGCCCCCATCCATCCCCAACTCCCGCGGGTCACTGGGGGCGGCTGCAGCGGGATGGCCGGATGGACGGCCGGACGGTGGCCACAGCCCCGGCACAATGGAGCCACAGTGCGGAGCTAATGGACCGTGGGGCCGGAGGAGGTCCTGGCCCCGGCCCCTGCGCGGGGTCAGGGCAGTGGGGGTGCTCCGCAGCATCAGATGTGGGAGCGGGGATGCTCCATGGCAGTGCATGTGGGAACCGGGATGCTCCGCGGCATTGCAAGTGGGAGCAGGGATGCTCTGCACCATTGCATGTGGGAGCGGGGATGCTCCGTGGTATTGCATGTGGGAGCAGGGATGCCCCATGGCAGTGCATGTGGGAGCAGGGATGCTCCATGGCATTGCCTGTGGGAGCGGGGATGCTCTGCAGCAGCAGATGTGGCAGCAGGGATGCTCCATGGCATTGCATGTGGCAGCAGGGATGCTCCATGGCATTGCCTGTGGGAGCAGGAATGCTCCACGGTGAGCGGCCACCCGCGCCAGGGAGAGCACAAGGGGGTCAGGACGAGCGCAGCCGCCCAGAGCCCCCCAGAGCTGTCAGATGCACCGTGCACTTCTCAAGGATCCTGTTCTTGAGGAACATCCTCCAAGGGAAGGAGAGGGCCTTTCCCCACAGCTCTTTGCCCCATGTGTTACTCAGCTGGGTGGATTCAGGTCACTCCATTACCCTTGACCACGACTACCAACCGGTGCCATCTGTCCCAGACTTTGGGACACCAAAAGCCGAGGGATGTTGATGGGGACGCGTACAGCAGCGCACCCAAGGGGGTCCCCAAACGGGCAACCAGCAGCTCGCCGTGCACTGAGGACATCCCTGCTTAGTCCATACATGAGTGTCTCTCCAGGGACCTTCCCATCGTATTTCTAGAGGTTCCTGCCCAGGTCCAAGCCGAGCTCTGCTCTGAGGTCCTCCCTTCCCATCGCTGCCCATCATCCCCGGACACCGCGTCCCCAGCCATGCACGCTGCTAGACAAGGGGTCCTCATAGCCCAGAACGAGCCTTTCCCTATCCCCAGTGCTGACAAATCGGATGAGCAGGATCGCATTTGCCTTCATGGATAAAGTTCATGGCCAGGTTATCATTAATTAGTGGATCCATGTCCTTTTCACCCTCCATTATGCTCAAGTACTCGGTTGCCATCATTGGAGATGTAAATAGGCTCAGCCCGCTCCGATCCCTGACAACTCCATGAGTAATTTCCCTGCGGCTCTGATCCCTCGTCTTTCAGTGATATCCTTCACCGTTTCCCCTCTATTGCAGCTCATCCCCCACGCTGCCAGCTCTCTGGTTATCCCTGTGCTCCCATTTCATTCATAACTCCCCGTCAGCCCCATAGCTAACGCTTGGCCATGGTCTAGTTCATTCCCTTCTCCAAAAAGGTCATTTTTGCCCTCATCTGTAGGGTGGACTGGATCATGTCTGGGATGTGTCCGGTATGCGCTCCCTGTACTGCTGTGCAGGAAGGGAAAAGCAACCGGAGGGCATCGCAGTGCAGCCCGGTGCCTGCATCCCATGGGATGCGCCCACACAACATTTCAGTTGTGGTTTGGTGCCCTGGTGAGATCTGGTAGCAGCTGAGGAGCTTTTCCAGGGAAACTGTCACCCCTCAGGTCCTCACCAGACTGGGGAAAACCAAGTGGGACAAGTGACTCTTTCCCCAGGAATGGAAAGAAAGGCCGGCAATGGGAAGAGGAGGGAGCGTGGAGCAGGGACGGGGACAGGGAGCTTCCTCCGACTCAGGAGGCTGCCCAGGAAGAGCGCGAGGCCCCTGGGTCTGCAAGGCTTCTCCTCGGGACCAGAACCACCAGCTGGTTGTGCCTATGGAGTGCAGCCGGATCCATAGGGATCCTGGGTGCCCGTGCTGATGACAGCAAAGGGATGAGGATGGCAAGTGCCCAAGCTGAGCTTGCTTCCCGTGGCGCCTCCTCCGAGGAACGCTGCCGTCCCCGGCGTTGCTCCATGAAGTGTTTATCCCACAACCCTGTCCGGCTGCCAGCGGCATCTCCTGGCAGAGCTGCCTCCCCCGGGGCACCGAGCCGCTCCATGGAGAAAAGGCTCTTGTTTGTACAGCCCCCGACCCCGGCATGAGGGGGCACCCGAGCAAGGGGCACTGACGGGAGCTCTGCCCTGTGCCTTCCTTGGTGAGGAGGAGGAGGAGTGGGGGCAGCTCCAGACTTGCAAAATGAGGGGACGGCTGCTGCGGACAGAGAGGGGAAGGCGATGGGGATGGAGCTTTGGGCTACAGGGGCTGCAAGGGCACCGAGTGTGGGAACACAGTGCCGGCCGGGGACAGCGGTGGCTCTCGGGGACGGAGCTGGAGGGTGGTCTCCAAAAGCCCCCGCAGGCACCGCAAGCAGGAAATGCGCTGGAGGCTGCGGAGCTGCGCAGAGCTGCAGGGTTATAAACCCTACAGACACCAGCTGAGGGCTCCTGGGTGGGATGCCCTGCTATGGATCACTGGGACCAGGCGGAGAATCCTCTTCCCTGAAGGACAGCAACCAGGGATAAAACCTGGCACAAAACCCCTGACGCCTCTCAAACTCATCACAGTGCTCAGAGCGCATGAACCCCCCAGCAGTCCCATGTGGCTGCAGGTGCCGGGCACCCCGCATTCCCGGTGGGAGCCATTCCTCCCACGTGGAGCAGAGCCCGAGGATGCCCGGGACGCACCCCCGGCTCCCCCCCCGCGCCGGGGCCGCGGTGTCCCCCGCTTCCCGCACCCCGCTGCCCTCCCGCAGCCCGCCCGTCTCCGGCCGCCCCCACAGCCCCCGGCGCCGGGGCCGCTCCGCAAATGTCACGGCGGCTCCGTGCGCCCGCGCGGCCCCGCGCGCTGCTCGGGAGCGGGCCGGGCCAGCAGCGTGGCCCTGTCACCGCAGCGGAGGGAGAGCGGCTGGAAATGTCACCGAGCGTCTGGAGCGGCTCCGGCTCCGCTACGGGGATGTCGGGCAGCGTCACCGGCTGCTGCTGGCAGCGGGGCGAGCTGCGCCGCGCCAGCGTCCCCTCCGTGCCATCCTAGATCTGCCGCGGAGCCCCCAGAGCTGCTTCCCAGCGGGAATGTGGCCCCGAGGAAGGCGGAGGGAGCGGCGATGCGGCGCTCGGGCCGCCTGCAGCAGCCTTCGTCCCCGAGGCGCCCGCGGGAGGCGGCGGCCGCGCTCCCGGCCACTGCTCCGCGCACGCCTGCACATGCCTGCACACGCATGTGCACACATGCAGCCCCTTCCTGCAGGCCCATGCCCACGTGCGGCTCTGCTTGCACGTGCAGCACCACGTGTAAGGCACATAGCAGCGCGTGTGCATGCAACCCCCCCCCCCGAAATGCTGCACCCCCACAGCACAGCACTGCATGTGCATGCACATGCACCTGAAATGCTGCACCCTTGCAGCACAGCAGTGCATGTGCATGCAATCCCCCCAAATGCTGCAGCCCCGCAGCACAGCACTGCATGCACATGCACCCAAAATGCTGCACCCCTGCAGCACAGCACTGCACGTGCATGCACCCAAAATGCTGCACTCCTGCAGCATAGCACTGCATATGCATGCACATGCACCCGAAATGCTGCATCCCTGCAGCACGGCAGTGCATGTGCATGCACACAGCCCAAAATGCTGCAGAGCAGCATCCCTCGCAGTATTCCCTGCTCCCACACTATCCCTTGCTCCTGTGCTATTCCCTGCTCCATCCAAGGCCGGTTTCAACCCTGCTGCTCCCGCATGAGGTCCATCTCCCACCAACCATCAGCGCTTCCACAAGTGCCGCACGGGAAGAGCCTCCAGATGGGGACAAAAAGGCACCTGCACCAGCACCTGCTGCCTTCAGATTCACTTGTCCCAGGGTACATTGGAAAAGGGGGGGAAAATGCTCCAAAATTTGTTCTGCAAGTGCTCCACACATTGTCAAAGTGCTTTAGAAGGAAAATCTTCACTAGTGTCTTGTAAAATTATTCCTTGGCAGGGAGCAATTATTCCTTTCTGAGCTGGAAAATGCTCGTGATAAAGTTTGCAATGAAATATTCCTCATTTATATAAATTAAACATTCTGCCTGGTGCTAGTTGTGCTTGGGGAGCAATAGCAGCAGCTGTATATTTCGCTCTGCCTCCTAACCCATTATTCCAGCATTTGCCTTTTCGGGTAGA